GTTTGTATGTAACCACTGCTTCTTAAAGCACAAACCCCTCTGGAATGAGCTAAAAGACTTCCCTGTTAATCAAGGCTGGAGCAGGTCCAGCAGCTGCTGTGTGGGCCAGTTACCACTAGAGGGGGCCAGTGTGCTGCTCTGATCAAATGGGGGAGAGGGTGACACTTACTTGAAAACAAACATGGGGGTGGGGCAGTATCTGTCAGTGGAGATGGGGCATCTCTTTCTCAATGCTCCACTCCAGCTCAGCCAGGAGTTTTGCGGCTGGAAGTAGAAATCAGTGAGGGAGATTCTCTGGCCTCTAACCCCCTTTCTACCCAATAAACCCCAGAACCTTGTGACATCTACTGTTGGCCTTTTTGCAGCATTAAAAATGGACCATTTTCCCTCCTTTTTGTTGCTGCTCCACGACAGCACTTTGCCATTCATCCCATGGCTCCTTCAGAGCCTCTCGTGAAGTACCTGGGCCAAAGCCTTGTTAAAAGTTGAAAGAAATGATGTCCACTACTTCTCCTTTAGTCACTATTTTATTGACACACTCAAAGAATTCTAACAGGTTAGTGAGGCATGGTTTCCCTATGGGGAGGCCGTGCTGGTTAGACACTAGCATATATCACTATCTTCTAGATGTTTGGTAACTCTATTTTTGTTTATTGTTTCAACCAGATTTAACAGATACAGAGAGGTAGGGCTCACTGGTCTGTAATTCCCGAGATCTCCCCAACAGCTTTGGTAAAATCACTTGCAAAAGACATACATAAAAAAGAGTCTTTCACCACCATACTCTGCATTGATGTAGGGATTTCTAGTCGAGGAACTCAAAAGCTCCTTACTCATAGATGAATCCTCACTAGCCCAGATGGACATGGAGAGGGGAAGTCAGTGGAAGGGCTGCCGAGAGAACTCAGGAGTCCGGGCTGCCAGGCTCCTGGCCTAATCACAAAGATGCTGCCTAGATTATCGTGTTAGAAAATAAAAGCTTTTCCCAGAAAGCAGTTCATGCTTACAGTGAGGTTGTCTGCGTATCTGTCTGACAGCAGAAGGAACAAATATCATTCCCTGCCTGGGTCTGCTCCACAATATTTTGTCTAGCCTAGGTGCTCTCATTATAACTGCACATTAGTGACGGGAGCGCTTTTAAAACTGGGACTGCTAGACTGTATCGAACCTGGGATTCCTCTAGCCCCGTGGCTTATCTCTGACACTGGGCTAGCACCAGATGCTGCAGAAGAAAGTGAGAGGAATCCATATTCGGGATCATCTACCCACATGAATGTCTCATCCTAAAACACAATAGCTAGAGATCACCTTAAACCCTGGAACTTGAGGTTTAATATCCCTTCTAAACTCACTTCTTTATCATTTACTATCCTACACGTCTTGTTAGGCACATAAACATCCAGTCCCTCTTTGAATCTGGCTACGTTCTCAGCTACAGCAGCATCCTGTGGCAGGGAGTTCCACACTCCTGTGTGGAAGAGTCCTGAGGAATTGGTGGAGGGCTGGAACCCAGCTTTGCAAAAGGACAAAGATGGACATGCAGGTGGCAAAAAAAGGTGAGGGACCAGCTAGAAAAGGAGGCTAGACACAAAGATCAGGAATTCGATGAGCTTTAAAGTCTCTAGTTTCCCTCTATAGCTCTTTGAATACAGGAAGAGGCTCTCAGTCTTTGGCAGCCTGGTGATTAGGGCTTTGCTGACTTCTTGAGCCAATCGTGGGTTTGAAGCTTGTGGAAACTGTCCATTTCTTCCCACAATTACTTGCCTGTCTCTTAGCTCCTTTCTGATTCACAACAGCACCTCACCTTTCACTCTGTGGTTAACAAAATCACTTAGCAGTCTTCTTAGTCATTACACCCCAAAGCACAATCTCTCATTTCCCCTCCTTCTGAATGAAGGAACTCCAGAGGAGTCCGCAAAATGAGTTTCGTTTCAGTGTCAAAGATTTGCTAAAGATGAGAGCTGTACAACGGTCACCTAACAGAGAGAGTGAAATCTCAGCCACTTGGGATATGCAGAACAAGGCTGGGCCAATACACCGTTCGGTCAGTCCTGCATTGGATGGGGAGGCAATGGAAAGCAGTACATGTAAGTGATGTAAACCAGAGACTGTCGTTGACTGTGTCTGTGCAGCACCGGGTGCGACAGGGCCCTGATCTCAGTCACTGTGTGTCTGTGCAGCGCCCGGCACAACTGGCCCCTGATCTCGATCACTTTGTGTCTGTGCAGTGCCCAGCATGACGGGGCCTGATCTCGATCACTGCGTGTCTGTGCAGCGCCCGGCACAACTGGCCCCTGATCTCGATCACTTTGTGTCTGTGCAGCGTCCAGCATGACGGGGCCTGATCTCGATCACTGCGTGTCTGGGCGGTGCCCAGCATGACGGGGCCTGATCTCGATCACTGCGTGTCTGTGCAGCACCTGGCATGATAGAGCCTGATCTTGGTTTGCCTCCATGTGCCATGGCTGGATCCTGCTTCCCTGATGGAAGAGATCAACCAGGGCCACCCTGATGCAAGATAAGCTGGGATCTCCAGCACGTCCATGGGGTGTCCTGGTGGTCTCCATATTGGGTCCCCTAGCTCGGAGGGGAGAGGGGGGAAGCAGGGAGGGATCCCAGTGTTGCCCTGGCTCCTGGGGATCCCCATATGGGGTCCATAACTGGAGATGGGGCTTGGTGATCCCCATATGGGGGGCACCCCAGCTCAGGTGGGCCTGCAGAGTCCCAATACAGGGCCCCCGGCTCAGGTAGGTCCCAGCACAGCTCCCCTAGCTGAGATGCGTCCTCTGGTGTTTGCTGAAGGCTGAGCTCCAGCAAAAGCTCTTGCCGCCCTGGCCGCACTGGTAGGGGCGCTCGCCGGTGTGGGTGCGCTGGTGCTGGATCAAGTTGGAGCTCTGCCGGAAGCCTTTGCCGCACTCGGTGCAGCGGTA